AATCTTGAATATAGTTTATACAGGTATTCCAAAGAATTATTGACTAAACCCAACATGGAATTTTATTATGAAAGGTTAAAGTTGAGATTTTCCTTTCTATTCCTCTAAATTATCTTAGATTGATGATTTTGGATTTATAAGGGCATAATAGATAAAACAATGGTGTTACCTTGGGTACTAGGGATTTAAAGAGTGGACATAGTTCCAAGAGTGCTAATTAGAAGTTATATATTTGGAAATATATTAGGTAAGTGAATAGTATCAATGACTCGTTAGCAAATTCATTTTCATAAAAATATTGATTTAGCATATTTATGTGCCATTTCTTCTATTTAAATGATAGAGTATTTAAATTTATTTTTATGGCTCATGATCTTAATTTTATTATCATCTATCATACATGAAAATGTTTTCATTATATTTTATTTTATTATACTATATTTTATTATATTCTATGTTATAGAAAGAGTTGGATTTATCCTTCAATTGAATATTCAAAAGTATATGCTATATTGGAAATGTTGATGTTATGTTTAAGAACAATTAATTATTACGATTCATGCATGTGACTTATATACTGATGCATCCATATATGTTGAGTTTGATGAGTAATTTTGAAAAGAAATAGTATGCTTATTTTAGATCCATGCATGCTTAATTCAAAATGTGGGATTTAATCAGAATGCTGGTTACCAACGGCAGCACTATTAGCCATTGGCATGTCATAGTGCACTTAGCTAGCTGGGTGCTTAGGAGGTACTAGCCCCATGCGATGGCCAACACACGTTGAATGGAGGAATATGATGGTTATTCGTGAGTATAGTACTCATGCTTGTTTTCTTTGGCCTTATGCTTGTGCTTGATTTTGTGGGCTTTATGATCGTGCTTGTTTTTGTGGCTTTGAGCTGTGTTTGATTACTTACCCTTGTGGACTGCTTATTCATGCTTGTTGGTTATTTATCCTCATGGACTATATGTCCACACTTGTTAATCATTCTAATCAAGTCCTACTAAAGAATTTTGAAGTTTATTTTTTTTAAATTGATCTCGTAAAACAAACTATATGTCCACGTTATTTCTAATCAGATTTTCACATTCATTGTTGACCTTGATTGTTGTGTTCACATGACCAAAACGTCAGATTTTCACATTCATTGTTGACCTTGAGTACATCACGAGCAGGAATTAATAGGGGAGAGATTTAGTTTTTTTGTTGTGTCGTGGGATGTCACTTTCTTTTTTTCGATAACAGTCAAAGTGCGTGAGTCAAAAAGGTAAAAACTTAAAGTGAGACAAATTAATGTAGCAATTAGAAGTGCGCTTGGCCGTCCAAATAATTGAACTGGGATGTCATGTCATAACGTGTTGCACGATGAGTTGTAAATACTCAAGGAAAATATCAGTCATGGAGGACTGCAGAAATTTATATGTTGAATTGTTATGAAAGTTCAATTGTTGTCATTTGCGTAGGTCATGGAAATGAATATTGTATCCAATTCTGTTCGGTAATTATCATTGTTGAGATTATCTATTTTGCTTCCGTTTGTTTAATCAATTTAATCTTCTTGTTTTGAGCTGATATTTTTAGAAAAGTGATTTTAACAGAATCTCATTTTTAAAGAGTTATCTTTTGTTGTGTTTTTTTATTATCATGGATTAGCATATTCTATCATGGTAATGATTAATTAGAAACATTAACTTTAATTACCACAGTAAAGTGTTTTAATTAATGGGTTAATTATGTAGGCATTACAAAGATGATGTCCTATTGGGCATTGGTCATTTTAGTTATCGTTAGAAGAAAAAAAAAGTAATTATCACTTTAATTAAAATAATCATTATTATTTACAACACCTGAATTTGACATAAAAACGTAAAAATAATAAATTTGAAAAGACAACTTGCAAATTTTACAACAAAGAAATCAATAATTAATAACTCTGGAGGCTTGAACCATGGCTTGCTAATTTTTTTTTTCCAAAGAGTCATGATTAAATCAATTGTGCAACGATCTAACAAGCACCATAGTTTGGCTTAATTAATCATCAGACCCTGAACCACATTTCTCATAAGCAGCGATCCCCATGCTTGGGGTACAGTTGGATTAACGTTAATATGTGTGTAATCTCTTTATACTTTATTTTATATAAATGTTGTACTCACTCCATCCCAAATTATAAGACACTTTGGGAGGATTTGATGTTTCAAAATATAAGAAACTTTGTAACAAAATAAGGTTTCATTAATGATACTTTTTTAATATTAACCTTTCAATTTATTCTCTCTCTTTAACATTTCTTTTGCAAATGGAATATTAAATGAATGACATTTTTAAAAGTTTATATTTTTGTTTTAAAACAGTAAGATTATAAAGTATATTTAATAAACTTTATTAATATGTGTGATTTTACCTAAAAGTGCCTTGTAATTTGAGATAGAAGGAGTATATGTTATAGATAAAGAATACCCTTCTCTAATAACATAGACAATCTCTACCAAGTTACAAATGACAAAAACATAAACTCTCCCAAATGTAACCATATGTTTAAGTAGGTAGAGTGCTTGCACTACTAATGCTAAGGTATTAAAAATCGAATCAATTCATTAGTTTGCATATTAGACCAACTATTCTGGTCTAGTTTTCAATACCATGGTTAACACTAACTTAAGGGTATTGTTTTATAGGTAGAAAATCACACCTAAAGTTCTTAGAATGGAAAAAATTACACTTAAGACTCAATATATATATATATATATATATATAATTACTTACATCTCTAGATTTTACAAAAAATCCTCAGAACTTTAATAGTAGGGACAAAAATAACAAAGGGCTTATATGAATTAAAAGATCCAATTGCAGAGTTTAAATCATAAGGGTCAAATTGAAAATTCGGAAAAGAGCTTTCAATAACGTCACAAACTGTAAACAGTACAGTCTAATTAGGTTTAAAAATAAATTAATAACTTGGGTCCCATGACCAAAAGCTTCAGATTTTCACATTTATTGCTGACGTTGAGCACTAAATATGTCATGTTGCGTTAGCTATATTTTAAAGTTATGTCAATTTTCAAAAAAAAAAAAGGGGGGGTGGAGGGGTTTGGTTTTTTGTTGTGTAGAGGGATGTCACACCATAACGTGTTGCACGATGCGTTTATACTTACTAATTCTTATCTAATTAAATAAAGATGATCAGTCATTCTTTTTTTTTCCCCCTAATAAAAGATGACGAGTCATTTTTATTATATTTAGCGGTGTGCTTTAAATAGAATTAACTATCAGTAAGCAATACCAAAAAAAAAAGGCTAAAAAATTATTTTATTTTTATTTTTTGTAAAAAATGTTATCTTTTTGTTTAACATATTAAAATTTTAATATATTAAAATAGCAATGAACTATGCCACGCCATATTTTGGTTTAATTAATCCTCAGACCCTCAACCACATTTCTCCTAAGCAGCTCTACATACTTGGCCACATTTGGATTAAAGTTAATATATGTGTGTAATCTCTTTATATTTTACATAATTTTTTTTTGTTGTGAATAAAGAATATACCCTTCTCTAATAGCATAGACCATCTCTATCAAGTTGCTAATAACAAAGAGTAAACCCTCCTAAATTTAACCATCTGTTTAAGTAGGTAGAGTGCTTGAACTGTTAATACCAAGGTATTGAAAATTAGATCGGCTAGATGACCAATTCACTGGTCAGACCATGGTTAACATTAACTTAAGAGTGTGTAATACATTCTAAATTGTTTCTATAGGTCTTAAAGTCCCAAATACAAATATGTTTCTTCCTGAAAAGATATATTTGCTCCAAATGTACAAGTTTCCCAATTTTATATATACAACATAATGTATGTAAAGAATATGACAAGATTCATACGTGAACAACACAATCTAGTCTTCTCGGTCATGTTACTAATGACAAAGACTGTGGACCATCCAGATTTAGATGGCCCAAATTTTAAGGTTTTATTTTATATTTATTATAAATTATAAAATTTTAATAAACCTATTTGATGTAGAATGGAAAAGGAGAAGGGGAAAGAGAATATAAAAAAGAGAGAAAAGGAGTAGCAGAGAAAACAGAGAGAAGAGAAAACTTAGAGGAGAGATAAGATAATAGAATTTTTATTTAATCAAATATGTGTAAGAATTAAATGAACTCAAGCGTTATTTGTAGGCCTCAACTTTAACCCTAGAATTAAATTCAATAAAATTTTAAAATCCTAAAATTAAATGAAAAGATAATAATAATCTAAATATTATGACAATTAAAAAAAATATTCATAATCAATAAAATATCATAATATATTCAATCTTCCAATCTTCTCAAATCTTTAACATATTTAATTACTTCTTTTTTTTCCTATCACTATCTTATCATCAATTTGGAGTTTGGACAATACAAATTTAATTTGAATGATCTAATTTAATATTAATTTTTTTATAATTTTTATAAATTAACTATCTAAATATACTCTGGATAATCTAGATTTAATATAAAAAATTTTAAAATTTTTATTTTAGTAAATATAATATTAAAAAATTATAAAAATATTTAATATTAAATAATTAAAAAAGTTGCAACTTGAAAATCTAGATTGTCTAGAGTACATTTAAATAATCAATTTATAAAAATTATAAAAACATCTAATATTAAAATGAGTCATTCAGATTAAATCTACATTATCTAGATTGATGATAGAATAGATTTATTATTATTTTTAATTTTTATTTTTATAAATATAAAATAAAAGAGAAAAATAAAACCTGTAAATCTGGACCATACTCCAGACCATATTGCTCCTTATGTGATGAGCACCACCGCATCTGGACCCAAAGCCACTTAAATCTAACCATCTGGTTACGTAGGTAGAGTGCTTGCACTGTTTAATTTAAGGGTGCTATTTTCTAACTTTATCACAAGCCATTTCGCCTATAAATATGCCTTGAGGGGAAGCTAAGTCACCAGCACAATCATCTGGCCATCTTTATTTTCCAATTAGAACACTCTACCTCCAAAAGTGCTGCTTGTTGGAAATACCATGGGTTCCCAAGAATCAACACATTCCATGCCTCCTTTATCCGAAACCATCAAACAAGTCCTTAATTCGTGTCATTATGATGAGTTTGGTAACACAACTGACCCAAGCCTCAATGTGGAGGCTCTGTTCATGGTTGTCTCTAACATCATGGAAGCTTCACTTAAGGTCTCAGATCCAAACATAAAGGTGCGCGCGCCTGTGTGTATATCCTTTATGAGCTGTTGTCTTTTCCAGTACTTATAAAGGCAAATAACCAAATATTTTTTGATTAATTTTATGCATAGTAGAGAATTTCAAATCAACCCGTTTAGTTGAACTAGTCCGTTAAACTAGTGTCTTGACTAGTTTAATGAAATATTTTGTTTATGATTGATTTGATCATAGTTTGCTTACGATTATGAATTTTGATCATTAACCCTTGAGTTAGTATTTTGACCAGTTCAATTATTGATCCAGCTTGCAGCACCTTGATTTTTTATATGTCATTTCTTTGTTGTTTACATACTGCAGCTTGTTAATGTTAACAAGGAGGCCAAGTCAAGTCTTCCCGGTTTCAAGTCACCCATAGAACGGCTTCAGAAAATTGCGTGTCAGGTTATATATTGTTCTATTGTAAAGATAAATATATATATATATAACTTGTAAGTAATATTAACTTTGTCTTAAATTTATTTTTGTTGATACACACACAGATGAGGAGTACAGTTGTTGATAAGGACTATTTGCATGCACAAGAAACAGCAAAGGGGATAATCACAGATCTGAAGGAATATCCATGGCATGCAAGAGCAGTGATGGCACTCGCAGCATTTGCTTTAGATTATGGGAACTTCCATCTTCTTTCTCAGGTTAAATTTGGCGACCATCTTGGAACATCCTTGGCTGCCTTGAATTATATTCCAGGCAACATTGTCATTGACGATGGACCCTTGAAGGAAACCATTTCCAAATACAACTGTCTAGTGAGGGACGTTTTCTTAACCGTCCAATGTTTGGTTAAGTTGATGGGAATGTTGCAGCGAGAAGTTTATGCTGAATTTGAGGACATGAATCTCATTTTGGAGAATGCTAGGCACGATTTCCCTGAACTTGTTTATTGTGCTGTCTTTGCCACTGTTGTTTGCAGCAGTTCTTTTCACATTGGCACTTATAGTCGGTGAGGTCATCATACTCTATTATGTTTTGATACCATGTGTGAACATTGTATTTTGATACCAGCTGTAAATTAGAAACAAAGAGCCCAATAAAATTAAGTAAGTTAGATAAATAAAATAAAAAAGGGAGGAAAATAAGGTCTTATGAAGAACAATTAAAAAAATAAAATGATATCTTCATAATTTAAAAGAAATCTTTTTTTCCTTTTTCATTGACTCTCAAACCCTTTCATTTTTATTGCTATCAAATTAAATGCCTTTAATGTAAATTTAAAGTCTGAAATGATGAAGAAAAGTTAAAATAGAACTTACCTAATATGTTTAATCCTATCATTAAGAAAAGATAAATCTTAGTTGGTGCCTATAAAAGAGATAGCAGAGAAAAAGAGAAGTGACAGAAAAAAATTTAGAGAAAAATTGGAAGGGAGACAGAAAAAAGTGTAGGAGAAAAATTGAGGTCAAACAATGAAACTGCAAAGGTATGGAGATTATTTTCAAGCTTTTTATTTTCATTTGTGGGATCATGATAGAAAGTAAAGCAGGATAGTCCATCACTATTGTATACCTTTCACGCTGTGCAGCCTATGAAGCTATGGATTACCTTGGAAGTCTAACCAATAGAGTAGTGCTCTTTGTTTTGTTGGTGTTGAAAATTGGAATGCCACTGTTTGTGTTAATCTTTCTTTTTTATTCTTTTTTTGTTTACTTTGTTTTGTCCTATTTGTTTCTAGCATTTGCGTTGAATGGCACGATTTGTGTTAATGTTTTTAGTCTTTTGTTTGTCTGTTTTGTTTGTTTCGTTTTGTATTTACCTGTTTCTTTTCCCTTTCCCTTCGTCTTTCAATTATACCTTTGTGGTCATATGAGTGTGAATCCATTTCAGTCATGATGATTAGATGTGAATAGGTGGAATTAATATGTTCTCATAATCAATCCAGTTTCAAAAAATATATTTGAAGGTAAAAAAAAAATCATTTGAAAAAATATATATGGATTAATTTCCATGAGCTCTTGTGAAGTATTTTTAATGAGTAATACTAAATCACCGTAGACTCCTAAAAATATCAAATGAGTTATTGTGAATGACACTAAGTCATCGCAAGTATCTAATTTTGTATTTAAGATCTCAAAACTAAATTATTTTATAAAAAATTCACTTTGAAAATTCCTTTAGGGTTTGCCATTAGTAATATTAAATTACCTTGTGCACTTAGGACATCATCTAGTGGACTGTAAGTAATACTAAATCACTGTTAATTTTAATATTAGTTAAATCTATACTCTTCTGTATTATAAAAAATAATCAAAATAACAAAATTTTTAATATATTTTAAGTTATGTCATGAGTGACACTAAATTACTATTGATCTTTAAAATATCAAATGAAATACTGTGAATGACATCAGGTTATCATAAGTATCAAATTTTTATTTTTTAAATTTTGTGGTTAAATTATTTTATAAAAAATTTACTTTGAAAATTTCTTTAGGGTATATCATGAGTGATACTAAATTACTGCATACATTTAGAGTGTCAACCAGTGAATCGTGAGTAAAACTAAATCACTACAAGTTCCAGTATTAGTCATTTTCTTCTTACCCAAAGGTATTTTCAAGGAACAAATTTTTATTAAAAAATAATAAATAAAAGAAGTCCTCCCATGTAAATAAATAATTTTTTATATCTTTATTTTGCATGTTATTAAAGGGTAATTAAAATATTATTAAAAGGCCACTTAACTTTATGTAATTAACTTAGGATAACTGTTCTTATGAGTGGGTATTGTGGGGTGCTTAACATTTTTTCATACACAATCAACTTCCGAACTATTTTAATAGACCATTCTTTTTCATTATATAATTTTCCAAGGCTTTTTAAGAACTTTAGTGATAACTCTCTTTTTTTTTTTTTTTTACATTTACCAACTTCCTTCATCGAGAAAGTCACGATCCAGGCGTGTCATCATGTTAATGTTCACATGTGATTGTACTTTAACCTGGCCTGTCCAATATAAATAAATGTAATTATGCTAGTCTTTTTTTTTCCTCCTTTATTCAAATGCAAGACTTCAAGATATAAGAGGTAGTTGAAGAATTTTTTTTGGGTCTAAATGTAAGACCCAGGTCTCCTTTGTTCTCAAACTACCTTAAAAAGATTAGTTTTTAAGGAGGGGTATTTTAAGGAAAACCAATATATGCATGTTTTAATAAATAACTAAAAAAAATATCCTTATAATCTATATGAATGAGTTATGTATTTAACTATTATATTTAGTACCGGAGAAAATTTTCCTTGGTATATATAGTCATCACAATTTCTAATTGCAAGCTGTTTTGCTTCAGGGTCAGCAACAACACTCCATCCTTCATTAGCGGAAAGATTTCCCATGTTCTTGCCAAATTACAGGATTATCTGGAGCAGATAGAAGAGAAGAAAGGTTACAAGCTTATATAATAATTCTAATTCCTGCTCCAGTAGTATTATTTACATCACCAGAATTAAGAAAAAATTTTAAATTGATCATTAATTTTGTCTAAAAATTTAATAAATTTCTAACTTTGCCCCTATTAAATATATATATTTTAATATTATATTTTTCTTTCACAAAAATTTAATGGAGGGCTAAGAAAGAAATTTGTGACATAAACTTTCCCCACTTTTTGAATAGAACCATAGAGAGTATATGAACATATATACACTCATGTACACACACAACTATATATATTACCAATAAATAAATTACTACTAAAATATAAGAGCAAAAAATGGTGTCATTGCAGGTGAGAGAGATGATTATCTAAAACGTCTACGTGAGGCATTCCAAACTCCTACAGGAATTTTAGGAGTTTTGAAAAATCTGTTATTCCCCAGAGATACGAAGAAGCACTACGTGTATTTCGGCTCCACGAAATCAAGGGTTAGAACTTCGAATTATATATAGGATTCGATCTGTTTGGATTAATAATTTCCTTTTTTAGTCTAATTTTTGTTAGACCAATATATGTGTGTGTGTGTGTATATATGTATATGAGATTAGTCATTACTTATCAGTTTTCCTTTTGGTTACAGGTGAACATCGATGACACGTTCAAGAACAAGTGTGTGTTGCTGTTCATTTCCGGACTGTTCGGCATCGAAGAGGAGATTAAGCTTTTGAAAGCAACCGAAGACTATTTGACATCAGATTCAAAATTCGAAAAATATGGGATGCGAAAGGATGACTTCAAGATCTTGTGGGTCCCAATGGTTTCTTCTTCTTCTTCTTCAGACAGTGAGAAGATCAAGCAGAAACAATTCAACGATGTCGCAGAAAAACTTGTTAAATGGTCGTATGTGGTGGATTATTCCATTGTTGGAACTGCATGCAAGAAACTGATCAGACAGAAGCTGGGGTACATGAATAAGCCTATGGTTGTTGTGTTGAACCAACGAGGAAGAAGGACAAATAACGATGCTTTGCCCATGTTATCTGCATGGGGATGCCGTGCATTCCCATGGAGAACAGGTGATGATTTGATTCTTGTTCAGAATTGGAACTGGTTCTGGTCAATATTCAAGGAATTCAATCAACAACTAGCAAGTTCGGTAAGTAGTTTTTTCACTTTAGTTATACCCTCCCTCCCTCCCTCCCATTCTATCTATATATGAAGCATCAATATTTCAAAAATGTAAACATGGCCGTATATTACCTAATAATATGTATCTGATATGATACACATCTTATAGTTCATATCATACGTATCGCAAGTTAAAGGAAGAAATTAAAAAATAATAATTTTATCTTTTTGTTTGACACACCTATTATAAGATAAGGTTTGTTATTATAAGTGAACGACATATAATAAGAACCATATTCCATCTTTTATAAAGCACATTATAAATAAGATCAAAGTAATATTTAAAAACCAAAAAACAATATTTTTTATTAATTGTTGAAAATATTTCTTAAAATTTTGAAATATGTATCATATATTTCCATACCTATATATTAAAATTTTGAAAATTTTCATATCAACACTACCATGCTATATCACATCACATTCCGTACATGTACATGTATCGGTTCTTAAATTTTACACACACACACGCATGTATATATAAGCTGCTATGTCTTCACTAAATTGCCAACAAGTGACATGTTAATTGATATATATCAGAACGAGAAAGATTGCAACATTATCTTCGGATGCATGGACGACGTGGACGCCAACAACTACGACGGTAGCTGGTTGAACAAAATCAACGATGAGTTGGAGAAAATAAAAAAGGACAAGATCATAAGCTCAAGTGGTTTTGCTATAAAATTCCATCATCATGGCAAGCAGCTGGCTGAGAATGACTTCAAGTTTGCACATAAGCTTTGGGCTTTTGTAGAGAATGTGTTCGCCAGCTTGAAAAGTATGAAGACAATCAGCAAGGACGACTCCACCTTGGACCATCTCAAGGAATTCCTCAGCCTCCGGCGAGAAAAGTCCGGCTGGGTTATCATAAGCCGAGGGTCCAAGGTTAAAATGGTTGGCTCTGGTGAGAGCGTGTGCAAAACTCTCAACAAGTTCGAGTCCTGGAAACACAATATCACTCAACATGGCTTTGATGGGGCTTTTGTGGATTACTATTTCAATGAGTTTCCAACTCAATCAAGTTGTCTCTGTTTGGATCTAAAGACCTATGTTCCCTTAGAATGTGTGACATGCCAATCTGAGATGGAGATACAGGTAGTCAAATACGTGTGCTGTCATGGCAACCATAGCCATGCCAAATCAGTTCACAGCCTTGCATGAGTCCTTTAAGGAAACGTCGTCGTTTTCGCTGATGGACCTGATGCTCAGATTTATAGGAAGGAGGAGCTGTTGTCTTGAATTATGAGCTTGTTTATGAGTACTGTGTCTTTAGTAAAGCCTTTCTAGTTTCTATAGGGCTTATGATAATAATAAATCCTTCAGGCTATGAGTCTGTTTCATTATTGTATGTGTGTCAGTGTGTGGTTCTGGATTTGTGTTATTGATAATAAAATTCCTCCTTCGGTTTAAGTATCTTTTTTTTATTTTATTTGTCAGTATGTTTTAACAAAAAACGTTAATTTGAGTATGTAAAAACCAAAAATTTTAAGATGTCCCTCCCAATAACATCTTAAAATAACGTTGTTCCGAATAAAGCTTATTTCCTTTTGCTGTTCCGAACTCGCTTGTTGTAACATACTGACAATATAATATAAATACGTGGGAGCGAAATTATAAATTACAGATGGATTAGTTTTAAACAATTAATGTTAAACATTATTAGTAACGCATGATTGTTTAATTATTGGATATGTGAAATTATAATTACAAAAAGTTGCAATTATAGTTATAAATTACTGATAAAGTAATTATAAATTGGTTATTTGATTGGGTTAATGTGTGTTTAATAGGGGTTTATTGTCTTTTCATCTTAGTTTCAAATTACACTCATGTCCTGAGAGACCTAGCTATAATTTTTGAATTTCACAGTGTAACATCCCTAATTTTAGTCCTTGGGTTAGTAAGAAATTAATCAAGTTTATTGTAGTAATTGAGTGAGTTGATGTGATATGTGATTAGGGAGGTCTAATAATTGTGTTCGGTTGGTTTTTTAGCCTAAATTATGAGTTCAAAATGACGATGGTTCACCCAGACATCGAAAGGAGAGGAAAAATGTGAAGGAATGCCTCTGTGCCATATACTGTGGCAGCAAGTTCGCTGTGGCACATAGATGGCAGTGAAGCAAGATGGACCTCTTTGTGCCATGATCCGCAGTGCATGGCTAAAAACTCTAATAAACTGATCGCGAACAAACTAAAAATTGGAGAAGAGAAAAGGAATAAAATGAAGAACCAGTAGAAGCTTTACTAGGATTCACATTTGGTAGGTATTTGCAACATTTTGGAGGTAGTAAACACCTAAAGTAAGTATCCTATACTCTATTCCTCCCTTTTTCATTTTAATTCGTATTAGAGTTAGAGTTTGAGTTGGGATGATAATTTTTGATCCATATAGATTATGGGTCTGAACCCATTAACTCAAATGGAGTTAATAGAAGTTGATTAGAGTAGTTAAACCTAGAGATGATGAGTTTTGACATCTTTGGTTGCTAAATGTCATTAATATCCAAAAATGACATTAATGATGGTGGTTGGAAGAGTTTTAATGCCATCAATACAAGTTTAATGACTCATTAATAACATTGGGAGCTAGAGATAGCTAATAAACCCAATGAGTAAACCCAAACATGAAAAATATAGGCATCAATGAGAGTTGAAAATGTGCATTTGACATATTGATGAGTTAAGAATTTGATTGATTATAAATTGAGCATTTAGGCACCATTTTAGCTTGGAAATCAAGCTTGGAAGCTAAATATTGAAGGGTAAACCTTTGATCTCTCAAAGGTTTGAAATAACCGAGGGAACCCTACTTTGAATAGTTATGTATTAATTGCAATGTAATGTGAAAGTATTTAGCATGTAAAATTGTGATTTGTGAATATGTGGAACATGCTATGAAATCATGTAATTGTATAATTGTTTTGATTTGAACTAAAGATGTAAAAGTAATTGCGAAAGGAATTTTAAAGTTTCATTGTGATAAAGTAATGACTAGTTGATGTTGGGTATAATAAAGAGGAATGTGTAAGACTGAAAATGATAGATATATGTGATAAATGTGAAAATAAATATTGATGCTCACTTGGGTAGCACATTGTCATGAGCCCAATGTGTTATTGTCAAAAATGAAAATTGTATAAATAAATGAGCACCGTACATGGCATGATCAGCGGACGGGAGTTCACCTAGGGAAAGAAGTAGATAAAAATCCATATGGTATTTTCAGCTGCCTTCCGATGCACAAGGGTATACCCTTGTTCCATAGTTTGTTGAGAAATTAGAATTTAGCTATCTCTACTAGTTTATCGAGGAGATTAGCTTAGGGCATACGACATCTAGAGATTCAAGAGTGGGGAAAACCATGCTCCGAGAGTGAGTCATGTCATCTTTGGCTGGGTCGCACCTCACAATTGGTGAGTTCGGATAGTCTAACCACGTGGATGGAGCCATATTTAGTGTTACAGCTTATAGTTTCTATCGGAAGAAATAAAGAGGATATAAGGATGGTTGATCATGCCTGTGTGGTTATATGACGTATTGCATGATTAAGTTATGGCAAGTTATGTTAATATATCAGGTCATGGTCACATATCTAAGTGTTTTGTGATAATGTATCTTGTGTTTGAGATGAAAATGAGTTAACTGAGAAATGATAAGTTGTGAATTATGTGTTAATGTATGTTTTAAGAAAATCTATTTCATACCTATGTGTTTATTTTAATTGATATATAACTACACATGGTAGGCTTACCTTAGTTACTAAGTGGCTAGAATCATCCCTCATCTTTAATATTTTATAGACTTTAGCTCAGGTACAGAGAGCGAAAAAGCTCCAAAGGCTTAGGAGTCTTGGTATTCCTAGTCTAATCCTCTATGAATTGTTTATTTTGTATAATAGATTTTATATTGTCAATTTAAAATGTATTTTATTTACATTTGCACTATATGGTTGTCAATGATGATGTCTGGTTTGTATTTTGAGCCCTGAGATGTAGTTTATGATAAGTTATAAATGGTTATAAAGCCAAAATACTAGTACAAGTATAGTAAGGTTGTTTTAAGCATGATATGATTAATTTTTAATGAAATGCATTGCGAAAATCTCCTCCTTCTGTTTTTAGCATTAAAGGGATTGCAGAGTGAAATTGTGATATAATGTCGTATATGTGCTTGTGGTGTTTTTTACAAGTAATCCTAGGTTCAATTAATATATTTTAGGTGTTAGGAATGGCTTTTGACACTTGCGTAGGGTTTTGGACATCTTTTTTATTGTGAAAGTGGAGAAAAGTGGTAAAATTATGTTTGAGTGTTCAACTTTCTAGTGTGACTTGTTTGGAAAGTAAAACCTGTGCCATTAGCTAGTTTATAAAAAGAAGCTTTCTTTAGACACTTAGATCATATCATTCGAATGGTGAACGGAGAAATAGGGCACGTCAGAATTTTCTTGGATTTTGCTATCATCAAATGATATCAGAATTGCTGTCATGAGTATGCAACACACCGCGGCGCAGAGTGCATGAGCCACGACGCATTGTTCTGTTTTTAGCATTTTGAGATTTTGCAACTATTTTCAACTATTTTCACTCTTTTGAGGTATTTCATGCTTACGTAATACTATTTTACTCTAACTAAAGGTCAAATGTATGCTTTTGACTTAATTTTAAATTATGAAAACTTAGGATCTTGTTATTTCAAATACAAACTTGGTAATCCTTTTTTTTTTTGAATAATCTCTTGATTACCATAGTTTATGGTTTCAATTATGATTGAATAAGGTGGATATTTCAAGCAGAATTTATTTGTGAATATGTTTGCACCATGGGACCTAATTTTCCCTATAAATAATTATAAAACTAGATAAGCATAATTTTTAGGAAAAATGACGGTTAGGCCCCACAACTTTGAATTAATAAAAGTTAAAAGTATTCAATAATTATTTTTGAAAAATTAGTTAAAAATATTGATTTAGATTATTACAAATCTAGGAGTTTCAATTATAAATAAGTATCTAACTATCAAATATAATTATTAAATTCAATATTTGTAACTACTTGAATTAATATTTACAATTTATTTTGTGAAAAAATTTGCTAGGGACCTAATTGTGTTTAATTCAATATTTTAAGACTTAATTGTCATTCTTCTTAATTTTTATATAGCAAGCTATGAAATTTAAAAGTGCAAATTTATTGAATCGAGACTTACAGCTCACTCATTATGTCCCTAAACTATTTCTCGAGAACTACCTAATATTTTTAGCAATTTTATCTTTAAAGTAATTAATGTAGAAACAATTCCCATCGTGTTAAGTCTTCCCAAATGTTGGTTAGTCAAGGTTGGTGGGATCCATTTTAAAACACGTGGCAATAAAGAGGCATATTTCTCTTTCTAATTTGGATTAATCCCCATGATGCGTGTTTCCTTCTATCCTTCTTAGATTTTTCTCATTGCTTCAAAATGGGTCGCACCAACCTCGACTAAGGGACGTTTAGGGAGACTTAACGTCTAGGGAATTTATCCTTTTTTAATTATTTTAAAGATAAAATTACTACAACAAAATATTTAAAATAGTAGGTATTCTTTAAAAAATAGTTTAAAAAAAAAAGACAAATTTGCACTTTCTTTACTACAATCGTGCATAAGTTGATATCAAACACATTAAGCAGGACATTGCAAATGTTTAATTAGTTTGTAAATGATATTCTGAATCTTAATTGAGTTGGGAATATCCAAAAGTTCAATTTTAAATAGGGTAAAAGAGAAAATTGATCCTTAAATTATAGGTCCAGAAATATTTAAGACCCTAAACCTATTAAATATACAATATTCTTCTTCAATTTTTAAAAACAATATAATCTACCCCTATTTTTAACAATGATTAACTGTAAACGTTAGTTAATCAGAAAATTGCAGAAATGACCTCAAAAATTTTTAAAAAATTATGAATAAAATTTTCTTGATCTTTTACTATTTTTATTGGATCCTTGACTATAATTTTTTGGCCATTTTATGTCATTTTTAAAGTCATTTTTATCATTTTCTAATAATCAACTAATTGTTAAAATTAACTTTTATTAATAATAGGAGTAAAAATTAATTTCAATCTATCATTCACCCTAAAATCTTCATTATATTAACTTTTATAAGAACAGTTAAGTCGTCAATTGTTTTAAATTAGAAATGAGTGAGCAATGAAATAGCAAATTAACCCCTAAACGATAAATCTAGAAATATCTGAAATTCTAAACTCATTAAATATGCAATATTCTACTTCAACTTTTAAAAATAGTGTAGTTTGACTCATACCAATAATAAAAGTTAGTTTTGACAATTAGTTGATAAGAAAATAATAAAAAATAACCT